TATAAGTTGTATTTGTGTGCACCAAGTCAGACAGGTTTTGGCAACAGACTTGTGGTGGATTTCTTGGTTGATGTGCTTTTCAGAGCTGGGAGAGGAGTACTGCCCACCATCCCAGTATCTCCTGCCAGTGCTGGAGAATGACTGTGCCAAACAGAACTGTGACCAGTGGGATGGTTTGGAGGAGGCCTGGAAGGTACATTAGGTGACACATTAAAGGTCCAGTGTGTTAGATTTAGGTGAAAGGGAGTTTTGGCAGAAATTGAATATAAAATAATCCCAGTGATGTTTTCACTAGTTCACTTCATCTAAATTGTATTAATTGTTGTTTTCTTTACCATAGAATGAGCTCTATATATTTAAATACTTTATATTTACATGGAGGGGGGTCCTCTCTGTGAAGGCCACCATTTTTTTACTTGTCGTCCAAAGTGGACAAACTAAAATCTTTTGAGTTTTCATGACAACTGAAGTTCATCACAGGTTCTCTTTCATGGGGAAGGGGAGGTTGAGATGAGGAGTCACTAAATTCTACACACTGAACCTTCAACACAACAGACCCTGTATATGTGTAGAAATTAGTATATGTGTATGGATTACTGTAGAGCTGTTTACATGGACCTACTGTACACTTGGTTGCTGCTAACCTGCTTTCTGTTGTCAGACAGTTGTTTAACCTTCCCTCACTTTCTGTTGCAGAACAAATTCAGTGACTATGAGAAGAGAAAGGTTTGTGACTCCAGTTGAATAACCATCAGTTCTGATAGAAGTTTTTCAGGTTGTGAACATGGGTAAACTAAATATAGCCTAGACAAGTCCCCTTCTTCTGATATAAACTGATAGGAGGAGCTTGTAGTCATCTTGGAAGGTGCATTATTGTTTTTGCCAGCATTTCGATTTAGTCACAATATGAATTTTTTTGCTCATCAGACCAAGCTGAAAGCAGACATTTGGTCTTATTACATCTGCCCATTTAGCTGTTGTATATTTGTTGACAAGGCAGTTGCATTCACACTTTTGTTCAGCGTGATCACAATGCATCTCTGACCACCTCAGAGTGATGGTTTCACCCATCAGATCACAACCTGTCCTCTTTGCCTCTAGGGTGCTTTCACACCTTTACTTTCATATGGTCAAGCTCACTCTGAACACCAAAAACACATTTTTCGAGTGTAAGTGAAACAGCGGACGAATACACTTCAGGTACCAGCTGGTAAGAATGTGGCTGTGTGTTTGACAGATGTTGTTTTTCAAGCCAGATTGAGCCAGTAGTCATTCTGATGTCAGAGTGTTTTGAGGTCTGACAGAGATGACCTGCTTGGACATTACTGATGATACAAGTGCAGCATATAAGTTTGCAAACCAAAATACATTATTTCTAAAAATGTTTTCCTTGTAGGCTTACTGGTTACTTATTTTTTTTTTTTTAATGTGAGTAGTTTTATGACAATATTAAAAGAACCTCGCATAAGGTAGTGTTGGCACGCTAAAAATCAATGGGACACTTAATAAATAATGGTATCATTATTAATATAACTCTTATTACAACAAAGTTGAAAAGTGCTTCAATTAAAGACTCACAAGTAAAAAGTGACCTAACATTAAAAAGTGCCAGTCTAGGTGGTTACGCGGTGTCAACAGCCTGTGCAGGCGATAGTGTCTGAATCTTCACCAGAGTATTTATGTGTCCGTGTCCATGTGTGTTCCATTTGCCAGATCTATGTGTAAAAATGTGGGTGAAAGAGACAGACTCAGTTGATGCTGCTTGTTGCTTGCTTTGTCTGGCCGAGATGTTCAAATTGTAATTAGATGGTCGAAGCTGTGCAGAGAGTATCTGTGTAGGTGGAACTATAGTCATAGGAACTAGGTCCAGGGGGACATCAATCTCCTAGATGGGTATGTGAAATGTTTCTTGAACATCTGTCGTTTCAGTGGCAGTTTATCAGAGTAGATTAAGTTTGTATTTTGCTGGTTGCGCATTTCAGCAGCTACCTAAAAAAAGAATTCTAGATAGACACAGGTGAATGCAGTATATTGACTTGTTCCTCCATTCTTCAGGAGCAGAAGCAGCAGGAGAAGCTGGCCTTTGAGCAGCACCTCGTGGAGAGGCAGAAGGAACACACCCAGCTTGTGCTCATGAACACCTCCCGCAAGGAGAACATCCTCAACTCAGTTCGACAGGTACACTACATAATCTGTGTGCATAATCTTACTGTCAGGTTCATAATCTGTGCCCTCAGATTCATGCACTCAAACAACTTAGTTTTCGAGTGAAAAGCACAACAAACATGGAACATAATAGAGTTAAACACACAATGCACAACACAAAATTAGGAACACCCAATGTTTAGACCCTTGAGTAAGCAAATCCCATGAGAAGATCAAAACAAAAGTTTCCTAAAATGTCTGTGTCACATTTATTCGCACTGAAGACAACAACAAAAAAAACTTACACAAGTGTATATATTGTGTCTGACATGTAGGAGCAGGAGCGTTTGGAGCAGGGAGTCAGCCTACAGCAGAGGGCTCAGGAGGCCGAGAGGCTGCTTGTGCTGGAAAAAGTGAGACAAGCTGAAGACGGCATTAGCAACCGTATCAGCAACATGCTGATGGACAACCAGCGGTAGGACCTAACAGAAGTGGCTTTGTTTGGTCCACAGATGCATCTCTGTTAACTACAGTTTATTTATGTCTGTCTTTCCAGGCAGAAAAAGAGCACTGAGTTTCTTCAAGCCATGGAGGAAGATCGGTAAGTGGATATGTAACTATATCATAAATAGATTGACATTACAGCTAAAAGATACAGAAGGGAGACCGCACACATGGCAGCATTCACAGAGGTTTTGTCCACTTTTGAGACTCAGTCTGTGTACAGAGCCCTTTCCATCAAAGTCCTTTCCAGGGTACAGAAAATAATAACACAATGTCAGCTTAATCTTAAATAAGACAAACTTTGACACAACACACAGTGAAAAGATATTAAAACTTGCATATTGATAGATTTCATTGTGTGAAACTGAGCTTAGATGGCAGTACTTGTGTAAGGTAGTTTGTGAGCAAAGAACCACCGTACAACCCCAAGTGAAGTTTTTTCAGTTCCACCATATCCAACAGTGACACACTCTTGTTGTTCTTGTCTCATCACTGTCAGAGGTGGCATTCTCCAACAGAACTATTGGTCATTTTCAATTATAAACTTTCTGTTTCTGAACCATGACCCACAGTATTTGGATCAAGAAAGTCATATAAACGATTGTCCTCAATCTTCATGGTAAAACTGAAAGAAATTTTGTCCAGACATTCATGCCCCCCTCAGGATTAATTATGCTGATGTTAGTATTTAGCTCAGAGCATGTCACATCCTCAGAGCTGCTGGTATAGCTCTCTAAACTGGTGTTTGGGGGTATCATTGTATGTTTTGTTATCTGCCACAGTGTCTTTTCTGATGCTTATTTCCAAATTTGACACACAGACACACACACTAGATAAATTGTGGTTGAGGAATGAAATAATCATTTTCCTACTTTCCATTATGGTTTATAGCCATCTAGCACCATGTTTACTGGTATGGCCAGCAAGCCATTATTAAAAAATGTTGACTTGCCCTACAGGATCCGTATGGAGCATCTCACTGCCATCACACAGGAAGAGGCCACTTCACTGAGGAAGAGGGAGGTGGCAGGTGAGCAGCTTGACTGTCAAGCTTCACTTATGTTTGGAGCAGATGTTTGAATTTTAAATCATTTAAATCTAAATGTTGTTGATAATAATGGATTTCTCAAAACAGTTCATACACTCAGTTATCCGTTTTTAGTCACACATCTGGGTTATGTACACAACTAGCAGTTCGATTGAATGTCAATACCATTCTCTCTCTTCTCTTTATTTTTCTCTTCATTCTCCCTCTCACCTTGGCTGGGTATCGCCATTTGTCTCCACTCCCTGTTTCTGTCATTTCAATTTAAAAGCCTCCCGCGGAGTCGATTAACTGCAACTTGTTGACATTGCAGCTGCAGCAATAATTTTACAGTGGCAAACAACCTATTTGTTTAATCTAAAATTCTGAACAAGCCACCTCACAAATTAAGTATGCGCCAAACTCTTTAGACACTTTAAATGTTATCCTTTTATTTTTTCTCTCGTTGTATTGTATTCTCATTCTTCCCACACACAATGAATTATTTTCCTCCAAAATCTTAATCTGCTCACCCCCCCTTTTCTTTCTCTGTGTTTGAAGTGGCCATGCAAAAGATGCTGTCATACAGCTGTGCTATGAACCTCCTTCAGGAAGCCAGCGACTTTCGCAGACGGAGCCTGGTCTCTGAGGCCAACAGGAGGTCAAACACACAAACACACACCATGATCTAAAATCAGATCTGAGCAGATAAATAGTAACATATGAAATCAAACATAATCACTTCCTATGTGTTTCATCTTTCCTTGTTCTTTAACAGTATGGAGAATTTGGACAAGAAATTCGATAAGATGCTCTCCCTCCAAGCTTTGGACAAATCTAAAGCCATTGCCCACATCTTGCAAGAGGTATGTGATGCGTGACATTTTCCTCGTTGATGACACTGGTATGAGAGCTTGGTGGAGGAGTCTGACTATCTTTGTGTGAATCAGAGTTGTGCCTCGTTTCTGCGGAAAGGCTCAGTGAACTGTCATGACCTTTGCTTGTTCTCTGCAGGAGGAGATGCAGAAAGCTGCGTTCCAGGCATTGCAGCTGCAGAAAGATGCTGTACACGGCTACATCCGCAGCCAGGTCTGTGTGGACGGGAGGAGACGGGTGGGGTCGGGGTCAAATCTGTCAAGCGTCAGACGAAGACTATTCAAACTACTTCAACATACTCTCATAGTTTTCAATACATCCCAGTGTAGCTTTTGTTCAGACTCATATGTTATATATACTTTTTGTATACTTTTCTTTAAATAAAAAGATCTAGATGGTGTTTCAGATCTAGAGGGATTTAAAGTAACTATACCATCATCATAACCATCTTCATCTTGTATGTTTAATAACAGGATAAATTAATTCTTCAGTTTCATATTCTGCATGGTTTTTAGGATATCGTTTTATAAATATGACAGATACAGAATAATATTATACACTAATAGTGTATCTTATTATTACCCCAAAATATGAAATCTATCGTTGGGGGGTCAGTCATTGCATTTCACCCGGAAACTGCAGTGACAGCATGTAAAAGTAAACTTTTTTTTCTGCCTCCAAGTTTCTAAAAAATTCAGCTAATGTAGATTTGAGGAAATCGACCAACCTCATTTGGAGATGTTGGAGGCAAACTCTTTTTCTCACTGTCTGCTAGGAGAGATACATTTGTTTTGATGAACATGAACTGCAGACACTGGCTATTATTATAAATTCTTTCTTTGTTTTTTTATTTCCTTGATTCCATCAGTAGCCTGCACATATCTAATTAATTTTTACTCATGATCTTAAATTTCATCATTTAGATTTGCACACACAAATGCCCTGTATAAAGGTAGAGGATCCTTCCTGACTCTTAATGCAGCAGCATGTCCTTTTCCCTGCCTGATGGTTCTCCACTGTCCACAGATCAAGCTCATAGAGGGTGAATTGATGCAACTGACTAAACTTGAAATTAAAAGACGCAACCTGGATGCTGAGAACCTGCAGGTGGGTGTCAACATCTCCTTCCTCTGTCTTCCCACATTTACCAGATTTTTTTCATCCTGCTCATGTTGACTGTATATATCATTTTGGTTATTTCCATGTCATTGCTCCATGGCAACGCTAATGTGCATCCTGATGTTAAAGAAAGTAATGAGGAGTAAAGGGATATTAAAAAGATAATGTAATTTTAAATGGGTTGTAATATTAAATATGTGGATTATATCAGAGACAGACTAGTGTTTAATTTGTAGCCTTTCAACAGCCATTACTAATGACTGTGTTGTTACTCTACCTCATGGGGTGGTGTGTGTTTATGGGTGTGCAGGAGGTTCTGGTGGAGCAGCGCACAGCTCTCAGTGATTTGTTGCAGCAGCTGCTGAAGCAGAGGGACCAGAGAGAGCAGGAGCTGCGGCAGATTCTGGTGAGGAAACAGCCTCAGAGGTCACTAATGTGGACTACATGTCAACTCAGTTCTAATTATATGGTGCCAAATCATACCAGAGGTTATCAAAGGCCACTTTTTAATATGGATTACGTCAAGATTGTATTCTTGAGAGGATTATTTACAGAAACCTGAAATTCTGTAGTGGGCAAGAACTTTGCCAGGAAAACGTCCATTTTACCGGGAGAACCCGGCTCTGTGTGGGCAACCGTCTGACTCCAGGGATTGTTTTGAGAGAGGAAAACTGAAGAGGAGAGGATGTGACCACATCTCAACCACAACCTCTCCTGATGAGACCCCTTGTTTAGTTCAAGTTCCACTTAGAGGTGTATCGTAACAGTAATGTACTCAAATTTATAATTAGTCATCAAACCAAGTCGAAGATGGAAGAATAGCACAAATCTCTGGTCTGGCTTTTGATTGGTATGTTTCAGAGGGTCACTGTGCCTTTGATGATGATAGCTTCACTAACCCAATCTCTCGCAGCATTTCCTCCTGCTTTTCTCCATTGCATCATCAGTTGCTTACATTTAGCTATTTCTTCATGTTTACATGAATTTCATATTGGCCTTTACCCAGTGGCCATCTGAACTAAAATGTTAATGATCCCATGTTGTCTCTGCCACTCAGGGGGAGGATTGTTGAAAGAAACCAGTAATCATTGTATGTTTTTTAGGCGGAGCTGGAGCAGAAGTGTGAGTCCAACCAGCAGAACTACTGGATGATCCAGTATCAGAGGCTGCTGGATGCCAAGCCAATGTCACTGCGAATGCAGGTGCAGTACAGAGCAGGAGGCTATTGACACACAGAGACATGTGAAACATGAGCATACTGTTGTAAAACTGTAATTTGGTTGTAGGAAGCGGGCATTGAGAAAGAGCTGGTGAACCTGTTGTGTAAACTGTCGGCTCAACATTACCTGCCCATCCTGGCTCACCATCGAGTGACAACTGAGGCCCTTCGCCACATGAGCTCCTCTGACCTCAAGAAGGTCTGTGTGCAACATCATGACTAAAATAGTTCTGCCAGTACCCACATTGATTTCAGAGATAGTCCACCGCATAACAGTCAAGTATCTATAATCAAAATATATTTGATAAACATGTATCACATGACCACCAAGGTATTGCTTGTAGTGAATACTCTGCAGTGAATCATCCCATAGCTGCTGTTCCTTTGTGCCCTATAGAGTTTTTCTCTGAACTCATTATTTAGGTTTTCTTTTCTGCAACTTAGCTTTAGTGGTTCACTCCCGGTGCTCTGAGCCAAGCAGCCTGCTGTTTTCAAGCACAATATTTTCTAATTCTGTTGATGCTACTGTCTGCAGCAAACAGGGGACAAAGTTAGAGAATAGCTAGAGGGCACAATGTAGTATTAAAGTGCAGAAGAGCCAGATATTCAATCAGGAGTTGATGAAGAGGAAAAAATGAGAGGGAATGTACTTGGACTAGTAATGTTGCTCTGTGTCTGCTGATATGTGTAGCTGTTTGTTATGTGTATGTTTTATAAATTCAACTGGTAGTTTAGTCAGTGTTGGGTTTACAGTCACCCCAAAAAGAGGAATGCTAATGAAGATTACTCAGAATGATCAGTAGTGTACGTTTATCTGTTTTCAGCTTGGCATTACTGAGTTAGGAATCCAGAAAGCTCTTCTGAACTGGGCCAAGGAACACCAACCGGAAGGTACTGTTCACTCATTCTACATCACTATATATTACCAAACTACTGTTCACTTGGCAGCAAAGCTTGACAATGCAAAGAAACAACCAGTGCCCACACTGGTAACTCTCAACAAGAACACACAACATGCCCAATACAACCGGCACCAGCAAAGAGTCATAGGAAGAAATGTGCCAACAGGAACATGAGCGCAGAGTACACTAACATCAATGTAGTCGTTGATGCTGCCTCTACATTACAGAAGTGACTTTATTTATTTCAACTGAATGCATCACTGTCAACTCAAACTAATTCCTCTATTTAAATGATAAAATGTTGATATTATGTTTACAGCTTTGTCTGCTACCTTCAGATGACAAAAACAATTATTGTAGTTTGAAAGAATTTGGACCATTATTGGGTATGTTGTTATGGCCAGGACATTCTGCAGTAGACAAAGGTAAATTTATCGGGCAATGTTACAGTTTTCTTTATTTACAGATGTTACACTTGAGATCATTGTCATACCATCCCTAAATAACCCCCTAACCCTGATCTCAAGACCTCCCTGCTGCTATATTGCGAAGCCTTTGAGTTTTTGATGAGGTGTGTCCAAGGTGTCGAAATTCTTATGTCCTGAAACAGGATATTTTTGTAACTAATGTCAACATTCAGATATAGTCATAGATGAAGATTTTATCAAATGATTGCAACATAACAAAATGTAAAAAATCAATGAAGGGGTCTGAACCCTATGTAAATGGCAGACATAGTCAGAATCTAACATACAAATTAGGGGTTAGATTTAAAAAACATTTATTTAGATGAGACATATCTACTGTTCTGAGAAGTTTGAAAAAGTTTTGAATCTTTTGTCTGTTCTGATGTAACAAAACGTGTACATGTCATGTACACGTACCAACACTGCATATCCACAATGGGTTCAAATCACTGCTGTTCTTAAAGGGATAATTCAGTAGATAATGAGTAGATCAGTCATTCCCAACCTGTAGGCCGCGGCCCAGGGTATTGCAAGTGGACCATCAAATCATTTTCAAAATAGTATGATTTTTGTGGTGGAAAAAATAAAATAAAATAAAAAGGTAATTATATAAAAATAAAATAATATATAAATACTGTTTCAGATGTTAAAACAAAATTTATTTTAAAAGATATTAAAATGTTTAAATTCTCTATCCATAGTATGAGCAATTCAGTATTAATGTATTCCTGCACTGCATTTATTTCACACAGAGCTCTGCTGTCAGGTCTGAAGTCATTGTGCCCTTGTGTTATTGTCTCTGTCTGTTCACTTGAGAGAAAACATACAATTGTGCCGTGGTTCTTTTGTTTAACATTATACTTCAACAAGTGCTCCCTGCACTGTGGAGCTTCCTGCATGTTCCATGTGCTTTCAGTTCAGTCTTGAATATTCCATATTTCTCATCAAAATAAAAAAAGTGGTCTGAGAACGCATTATTTGGCCTTTGTATTGTTTATTGGGTCAGGGGTGGGCCGTGAACAATTTTGAGATTTTCAAGTGGGCCCTGAGTTGGAAAAGGTTGGGAACCCCTGGAGTAGATAATGAGGGAATTTTCATTTTTGTGTGAACTATCCCTTTAAGTTTGCATTGCCTTCCTGTGTCTTCTAGAACAGATCTGGAACAGTTTACCTCTGTCAGGACACTGATTATTTCCTCCTTTAGCAGGAGCTTGTAAGGCGGTCCCTCAGGATGAGGCAGCAGAAGTCATCCCCACAGCTCCATCTCCTTCCTCCCCTCCTCCTTTTCCCAATACATCGGCTGCCCAGATCCCCAGCCCACCACTCACCCCAGGAACCCCTGTCACTCCTGCAGGGCCCAGCCCCGTGGGGGGTCCAGGGAGTTCTGAGTGTGTGGTCTGCATGGAGACCGAGGTAAGAAAAAAATGACTACAATTTATTGTTTTATTTGGTGCAATTTGGACACAAATATTAATAGAAATTGAATAAACAAGTGACCAGCGCTCTGTAGAAATCAGTGGGGCGAGGCAGTGTCTTCAGTCTGTGGAGTTGAAAAGGTCTTCTACGTTTTCAGCAACTAACCACATCTAAAAAACAAATTAATTTCACCATATTCGGCTGGTGAACAGGTGCTGATCTCTGTCATAGAAACAACATTCATAGAATCACTTCAAGTTTGGCAATTTGTATTTAAAGTAAAAGCACAACTTAAGTTTTGTTGCTGCAGTGTTCTCCATCAAGCCGAATTACAGATCTTTTATCTTGAAAAGTTTTGAACTTGGGACTGTAGATTGTCGGTTGCTTAGCAGACCTCTGAAATATCCGACATGTAATGTATGAAAAATGAACACCAGTGAGGTGAATCATTCAACCTTAAATATAAGTCAAACAGAAAAAACATTGAACACATTCTTTGCACATAAACCACGTAAGAGTAACACAAAGTTTTCTAACCTAACTCTGCTCCATAAACTGTCTATCAAAAGCTCACCACACAACGTCCAGTACACAAATAATACTCACTTATAATACTGAATAATTCTGAAGTAGAGCTGAAGCATTACCACAGGTCAAGCAAACAGCCTATTCCAAACGTTCATATTTTCACATTCATAATCACAAAGGTTTGATCGTCACTATTTTTAGGATTGCCTCTCTTTCCCCACAGGTAACAAAAACAACACAAATAGCAGTAGTTCAATACTTTGCCATCAAAGCAGCAGAACAAATACAAACTGACCACAATTCATGGAAGCAACCAACATTAGTTGAGTCATTTAATCCACAACTCCGTAGCCCCATTGGCACATTGAGAACAGGAAAAGTATTCATTATGATTTTAATTGTCCAATTTGTTAAAATCCA